CATAATAAGCATTTCAGAACCTAATTTTAAACCTCCAAAGGGATCAATAAAGGAACATGAAAAGTAAAGCAGCAAAACGTGTGCTAAAGTCTGCTTGCGGCTCATGCAGGGTTTTTTTAAAGAGCAGGTAATGTCTTTGTAACATATGAGCCAATCACAGTGACAGTAATCCTAAGTGACAATACGTCATAATGTTATGGCAACATAACTGCAAATAAACTCTGAACATTATAATTATTGCAGAAGCATGTCGATTTTGCCTCACCGTTCATTTAGTCCATTTGTCCATAAAGTAGAAAAAAATGTACACACCGATGCAGGCAGGCCTGTGCAGCCTAAGTGCATACATAAGTCATAGTACCACATCCGTAGTGTTGGTGGTGTCTGGGTCACTTGGTGCTTCCAGCTGCTGCAGGCTGCATGTGTTCATCAACATAGGTGGCTGCCTCCTTTGGTGATTCAAATGTTTTGGTATGTCCAGCATTAGTGAAAATCAAACGCGCAGGAAACAGAATCCCATGCCGGATACCGACCGAAGTTTCAGTCGAACGGCGTCAAACTTCTTGCGGTCCTTCATCACCTCTGCTGTGATGTCCGGAAAGATGCTGATGCGCTGCCTATCATAGTTTAGCGGGCCCTTGTTGCAAGCTACCCGGATTATCTCCTCTTTCACGGTGTTGTGGTGTATCCTGGCAATCATGGTTCGTGGCCTGTTGCTTGGTGGGCGGATGCGGTGTGCGCAGTCGACTTTAATTCCCCGGGGGAAATGCTCAACTCCCAGGAGTTTGGGTAGCAAGTCAGACACAAATGCAGTTGGAGAGCTTCTTTCAGTTTTCTCAGGGAGACCCACAATTTTAATATTTTGTCTCCTCGAGCAGCCCTCCAAATCGTTCACTTTGGCTTTCAAGAGTTTATTTTATGCACACAGCTCACCGTAACTTTTTTCCAGCTCAACCAGGCGTCTATCAAACTCTCCGTGCCATTCTTCCAGGTTGATAATGCGGGAGGTATTGGCGGCGACAGCATTTTTAACCCCAGCGAGAGTTGTCTCCAAGTTGTCAAACCTCGCGTTCATGGAGTTTCCCCATCCGTCTAATGGCCTCCAGGATGGGCGCAGGCAGGCATCCTCCTCCGGTGTGTCTGTTTGGGCATGCCCAGGGCTAGTCGAGCCAGGTGAGCTAGCGTTAGCTGACTCGGTCAGCGGGTTATCTTTGATCTTAGAAGGAGACTTGTGGGCTTTCTGGGTCAGTTTCTTAGGCTTGACCATCGTTTGGAGTTTTATAAACGAGTTTCACCATCAAAAAGTGCAAAAAATGAGTGTTAAATATTTATATCAAGTTAGGGTGGAGGAGCTGATAAAAAACAGAACCTACTACATCGCTGGCTCTCTAGCACCCCCGGAAGCATTTTTTTTTGTTTTTTGGTTAACACTAGTGTCTGTGCTTGGGTTAACTGTATTGTTTCTTGCAAGTAGTGCTTTTGCATTTGACAAGTCTTTGCTGGTGAAAGTTAAAGTTAGTGGTCCTTGTTCCCGGTGGCTGTGGCTCAGAGGTAGAGTGGGACGTCCACCAATCGAAAGATCAGCGGTTCGATCCCGGCCTCCTCCAGGCTGCATGTCCTGTATCCTTGAGCAAGATACTGAACCCCAAATTGCTCCAGATGGCTGTTCCATCGGTGTGTGAGTGTTAAAACTGAGTAGCAGGTGGCACCTTGTATGGTAGCCTCGGCCACCAGTGTATGAATGTGTGTGTGAATGGGTGAACGTGAATATATTTATATATCTATATACCTATATCCATATCTTTATATATATATAGTACCTCTTGAAGCTCATCGAGAGAATGCCAAGAGTGTGCAAAGCAGTAATCTGAGCAAAGGGTGGCCATTTTGAAGAAACTAGAATATAAAACATGTTTTCAGTTATTTCACCTTTTTTTGTTAAGTACATAACTCCACATGTGTTCATCATAGTTTTGATGCCTTCAGTGAGAATCTACAATGTAAATAGTCATGAAAATAAAGAAAACGCATTGAATGAGAAGGTGTGTCCAAACTTTTGGCCTGTACTGTATATATATAACCATTTACAGCAGCCGATTTTCTGTGGTTGTGTTCCTCCCTCCAGCATACGGTCTCTGTACTTAAGATTACTAGCTAACTGCAGCGTTTGCGCTCAGATTATCTGCAGTGTTTTTTCTTTACACTCTCTTGGGATTTCGCCTCTGCTGGTATAGGCAGCGTACACGCTCCCTCCCTCCAGCATACAGTTTCTGTGCTCCAGCTAACCGCAGCATTCGTGCTCAGGTTATCTGCAGCTTGGATAGGTGCGCATTAACCAGTGTGGCAGTGTTCCTCCAGTGTCACCATGATGGATAGCTCCCATTACTGCACTTCCTGTGGGGCTCTTCTGCCTTAGACCGGAGCACCTGAAGGAGGCACTCTCTGAAAATCCTTGTATGAACTGCAGCTATATGCCCCGGGCAGTGAGGGCTGCCAGACTGGCAGAGCTGGAACACCCAGAGGATGAATGTGACCTCCCCCATCAGGCCAATTGTCTCTACCCCAACATCGACACACTAAGTTCCGGGCTGAGGCCACTGCAGCTGCGCCCTCCAGAAAAAAGACAAAGTCTGGCCACGGCAGACTTTCAGCAAAGGTGGATCAGCTGTCTGCTGATTTGGTTCAGATGAGGTCCATGCTCAGGGCCCGCAAGCCTGCTGTCCCTTCGGAGGAGGATGAGGTGCTCATTCCTCCAATGCCAGAACTGGTTCCAGAGGATGATGCGCTCTCCCTGGCAGCTTTGGCTACTCACTTCCATGATTATGAGGAAGATACAGGGGATGGGGTCTCCCAGGCCTCAGAGCCAGGGCTCCCACTCCTCAGCGCAGCGTTCATTGGCCAAGAAGGAAGACAGCTCCATGCATGATATCATGCGCATGGCCCTAAATCACCTACATACGGACGTACCACAGCAGGCGGACTCAGCTCCTGCAAGTGCCTTCTTCAGGCGCAGGCCAGCCTCCACTGCCTTTGCTGTTCCCCACTCTGAGGACTACCTGAAGGAATTACAGGCCTGTTGGAGAGACACTAGAGCTTGCGCCCATCTCTCTGCTGATGGTCGAACCCTGGCAGCTATGTACGACGCAAGAGTGGGCCTGATCGCCTGCCAGCTATCGAGCCTACCATTGCATCCCTCATTGTTTTCCCTGATGAGGCTCTGCGACGGGATGCTAGGTGCCCTCGACCGCAGTGTCGGATCAGGGACGACCATCTCACAAGGGACCCCCAGGTGCCAGGAACTGAGGCCTCGGGGCCGGCTGTCGGGTATTTCTCCTATCAGCAGCTCAATTACTGGGCTACTCACACTTCAGACCCGTGGGTGGTTGCCACCTTAACCCACGGGTACAAGCTTCAATTCCGACGCCGGCCCCCTACATCCAGCCGGGTCAGAATGACCATTATCAGCGACCTGGCAAAAGCCCTAGCATTGGACCAGGAGTTATCCGCCCTCCTGGCCAAGGGCGCCATCGAGGCTGTAGACCCCCTGTCACACCCCAGGGGGTTCTACTACTTCCTCGTGTCAAAATAGACCAGCGGATTTCGTCCAGTCTTAGTTCTGAGGGGACTGAAAAGGGTTTATGAAGGTCATGCCATTCCACATGTTGACCACGGCAGATGTTCTGCGAACCGTTGCCCAGGGAGAATGGTTTACGTCCATAGACCTGAAGGACGCTTATTTTCATGTTCCCATTGCCCATCAACACCAGCAGTTTCTGCATTTTGCCTATCGAGGCTGCCACTGGCAGTTCAGGGTGCTACCATTTGGGCTCTCCCTCTCCCCAAGGGTGTTCACAAGATGTGTTGCAACGGTCCTTGCGCCTCTGCAGTCTCAGGGCATGAAGGTTCTCCCGTACCTAGACAATTGGTTGATCTGTGCACCATCCCAGACTCAGGTGTCCCAAGATACAGACCGTCTCCTGTCTCACGTGGCCCACCTAGGACTCGAGGTAAATATGGAGAGGTGTCTGGAAACATCTCAGACTACAATTTTCATTGGTGTAGAATTGAACACTGTAACTATGACAGCTTGTCCGTCCCCCCACCGTGTGGCCGACATCCTGCACCTTCTTCCCCTATTCCAAAGGGGACGTCTGTTGCCCATGGTCATGTTTTTTCCTCTTTTGGGCAAACTAACATCGGTTTCAGCTGTTGTTCCACTGGGCTTGCTATCGCTGCACCCCTGCAGAGGTGGTGGAACAGCTTCCACTTGGATGCCAGGTGGCACAGGCACAGGAAGCTCAGGGCCCATTGAGGGACAGGGCCTACATGACAAGGGGTACCCCTGTGGGCTCCATTCCATTTCGCAGGGAGACTGTCACTACAGATGCCTGCCCCTTGGGATGGGGTGCAGTGTGGCAGAGCAGGACAGCTCGTGGACGGTGGTCTGTGGACGACGTTCTACAGGGTTAATGTTGCCACTCCCCATCCACTTGGTGTGGTCCTCTTACCAGAATCCTCTGATTCTACTCATTGAGGTTTGTAATCTGGATTCCTTGTGACTTTGCTGGTATAAGTCATTCAGTGCTTAAAACACCGCCTCTGGCGGTCAGCAGGCATGAAATAGAATGAAAGTTGCAGATGTAACTACGGTTCTATGAATCCCGAATGACCGCCAGAGCACTCTGTCACTCAGAATCCTGGTGTTCTTGCGACAAGATTCTGTAGGAAATTATCCTCTGATGTCACCGGAAGATATAGTCTCTTTCGGGTCATCCAGGGTCACAGGTGACATTATTGGTATACGTACTCGAACTGCACATGCGCAAAGGGGAATATTCAGTGCTTAAAGCTTAAAGCTCATTTGGTATTCATAGAACAGTAGTTAAATTCGTAACTTTCGTTTCTTGGTTGCTTTCAGTTGCCTGTATGCATACCAGCAGCTGTAACAATATACTACATTTTATTGCCTTAGTCAAGTTTCCTTTTGTTTGTTTTTTCAGTCCACCCCATCACCATCAGCAGACCTTCTCGGGATTCGTTCTGCTGCTCCCGCCAGTGCCGCCCCAACCAGTGCTGGCAGCCTATTGGTGGATGTGTTCTCTGAGGCAGGTCCTGCCGCTCCTTCTGCTGCTGTGAACGACGACGGCTTCCTAAGGTAAAAGGTCATCACTTGATGTGCAGATGTAGAATCTACCATTAGCCAAAGTGTAGTATGGCTGGCTACAATACAGCTTGCTTATAATGCTAACTAGCTGCCAAAGAGACAGTAGTACTGTAGAAATGATCCCGATCCGAGTCTTTTATCATCAGTGATCTGCTGGTACTGAGTCAGATCCTGTACTGTTATCTACCTGTTGATTTAACTTGTATCTGATTCTGCAGAATGCTGCACTTTAATGCTGCACTTTTACTGTAGTAAATGACTGCTGCAGTCCAACACCAGGCTGAGGAGAATTAAACAGGAGAGTTCAGTAAATTATTTTGATTGGCTTTATTTTAGCTGATACTGATCCTTAAGATCTGTTTGGGACATCTCTGCCTTCTACTGTACTGCTGCCTTTACTCAATGTGTTTTTATCCACGTAAGTAACCAGGTTACTTAGAGAAACCAGGTTACATGTAGTAGCGCAGTCACTGCAAATCTAATCATCTCTCCTTTTTTCCACTAATTCCACTGTTAATTTCCTGATCTGCAGTCTTTCGTCATGTAAATGCATACTTGTTGAAAACTGACGAGAAACCCAGATCACAGTTCACATTGGCCAGTTACCTGATGTTCAAGAAATCACCTTCCTGGGGGGAAAAAAACAACTGTAACCTGGTTAATTAAGTGCATGTTAACACATTGACTGTTAAAAAAGTGGACAGGCTAAACAGGTCTTGGACCCTAATGGGGATGACTATACGAATCTGTCATATACTGTTGTTTCCTGTTTTAATCTGTTAATGTAGCCTAAGTAGCTGTGATGTTTGTGGTGTGTTTGTGCTGTTAGACTACTATGCAACTAGTTTTATTGTGTCCATGCTGGTTGTCATTCTGTTGGCTCTATCTTTCTTTGCTCTACCTTTGTCTAATATGGACCTGTCAACCTAGAGATATTTGTATTCAGATGCTGATGTTATTTTTTTATAAATATGATAGAAGATAACGAAGACTTCAATCAGTGCTCCTAGTTAAATCTGTCCCTTGCCCTGCCCTCCCTCCTCTCTTTGCTGTCGGCCGTTTTGTCTTTATCAGACAATGCTGGGCCGAAGCTAACTAGAGTGGTTTGAAAGCAAAGAAAGAAAACAAGAAAAACATGCAAGTAAAAGCCATGAAATGGGATTTGACCTTTGACTTTGCCTTTTCTTTGATTTCACAGCTGTGGAAACTCAGTAATCATTGTTATGTCTCTTCACCAGTGATAGTCTTGGCCAGAGACATTATGTTTTCAGGTTGTCCATCCATCCCATTTTTGTGGATGTATTATCAAAAGAGCACCTTGAGGGAATTTCTTCAAATTTAGCACAAACATCCACTTTAGGTCAAGGATGAACTGATCAGAATTTGGTGGTCAAAGGTCAAAAGTCATGGTCACTGTAACCTCTTCTGTTGTATTCTTGTGAATGTGGTATCTTATGAACACCTTAAATGAATTTCTTCAAATTTGGCACAAACATCTACTTGAGGCCCGTTTCCACTGAAGAAGTTCCTGGTACTATTTGGGTGGCAGGAACTACTACAGGAACGTCCTCTCGTTCAGCCCTCTCAACCGCCGTGTCTCCACAGAGTGGAGTACGAGGAAGGTTCTTGTAAAGTTACGGGCTGCCTCTGGATGTGACGTAATCGTTGCGCGACCATTTTGACCGGGGGGACGTAGGGACGCCGTTAGCCGATAGCGGTGTCTGTAATAACTAGAGTAGTTTCATGTCATATCCGACAACGGGAGGCTTAACAGATGACATCCTGATGTTAGCTTTGCTGCTGCTGTTAGCTGATGCTTTCTAGACATCGTGATTTCCCAAAACTGAATAAATACCACACATATCAACACAAAACTGCTTTGCTAGCTCAAACATGTTGTAACTAAGATATCTGCTGGAAAGAATATTTTTTTCATGGGCCATTTAGTGAGTTTTTTTTTACATGGCGGCAAAAGCTATATGAACGAGCTAACCCTCGTCTGCTGAGTTTTAAAAATGCCGGGTATTTTGTTGCTTTCTGTTGACGTCACATCCCTCCTTGAGTATATCCAATCAGCACCAAGTAATCCCCAAGCCCCAGCCAGGAGTCTTTCGGGGCCGTTCTGAGTACCTACCGCGAGGCAGGGACTTGTTTAGCCCCCGTAAAAGTTACGGAACTCTGTCCTTCGGGGGTGGTTCCTGCGGTGGAGACACACACCAACGGCCCCAGCCCCGTAAAATTACCCCGAAGTTCCTGCGGTGGAAACAGGCCTTTGGACTTAAGGATAAACTGTTTAGATTTTGGTGGTCAGTACTCAAGATCCATATGACCTTGTCTCTGTCTCATTTTATGAATGTAATATCTCAAAAAGGCCTTAAGGGAATTTTCTTAAATTTGGCACAAACATCCACTTGCCCTCAAGAATGAACTGCTTAGAATTTGGTGGTGGAAGGTCAAGGTCACCATGACCTCACAAAACTTGTTTTTTGCCATAACTCATATACTAATTAAGACAAAATTTGACACAAATAATTAATAGAATAAAATGATGAAGTGATGACATTTTATATCCAAAAAGTCAAAGGTCAGCTTCACTGTGACATCGTAATATTTTTCAAAAACACTTTTCTGGCCATTACTTGACATCATAACTCAGGAACAGATGAGGAGACATTTGGTCAGATACTGAATTGGCGACACTCATCTTAGGTGTCCACCTTGAAACTATGTTGATTGTATAGATCTTCTGTGCTGCCAGGGAGAAGATGTATGTGAAACATGCAGGAAAAAGTGTAGACTTATCTTCATGGTTGGCAGGTCTGCTACACTTGTCTGTTTTTTTATCTTGCTGTGTATGTGACTGTCTTTCGTCTTTTTCTCTCCTTCCCTTCTCTCCATTTCCCTCTGTGTGTGTGTGTGTGTGTGTGTGTGTGTGTGTGTGTGTGTGTGTGTGTGTGTGTGTGCTCGCGCGCATGCGCGTGTGTCTGACTGTCTGTCTCCTGTCCTCTACCGTGATTGGACATTGACAGAGAGCTGGAACAGCCCACCGAGACCTCTGACTCCCTATTGGTGGAGGGTTCTGGTGACTCGGAGTAAGAGCCCAGTAGTACCCTACAGAATTAACTACAACAATACAAATATGGCACATCCAAGGACAGGCTATTAATGTTGAAATGAACGTGTTAATTCTACACTGAATGGATAGCTTAGTGCACGAGCCATTTCGATTTACATAAAAGCACCTGACTTGCTCTACATTTATGTTGATGCCTTTCAACATTTTTAGAACTGATAAGCTTATCATCAGATAAATAAAACTATCACCAAACTCAGCAGCTCTGTCATGTAGGTTGTATTGCTTACAACTCTTGCTGTCACCAGCCCCATTTTGAGTTAAAGCAGGCAGCTGTTCTCTGTTAAAAAAAAAAAAAAGTTGGCCATGTTCATAAAGGGCGCTTTGCAGTTGTATTCAAATAAAAAAATGGATGTATTTGGTTTTGTGAGAACCCCTTTGCTGACCAGGAAACTAAACCTGAGACCTGATGGTCTAAGATTGATTTCAGTTGTATTGTAGGATAGTTTGTGTGTACTAGCAACACAGTCTGTCATGATAGCTAAGCACCAGTGCATAGTTACCTGTGTGAAACAGAGGCTTGTTGTGGGATAACAGAAGATACAGATGAATGGGGAGAAGAAAAGCTCAACGACTCACAACTTAACGTATGCTGACCACTGAGTATATGCTCTTTTTTTTTTGCTCTAAAACAATGCACATTTGAATAAAAAGCAGACAGACAGCACTTGAGAGGTATGACCTAATGATCAGAAAACGTAGGAGAATGCACTCAGGCTCTGCTGCCACTAGAGGGTTTAGGCAAATTATACAAAAAGAAAAACTACCATGCAAACTTAATTTCCTGGGTCACAAGCCAGGCTTCCATAAGTGCAAATTTGAACAGAATTTTGAAAAAACCAGCAAAAGAAAATGCAGAATAATGTGCATTTCTATCCACTGCTGTTATGCAAATATAAAAAGTTGAGTCCATTGACATAAACAGCTGGTGGTGCTTATTTTCCAGTCAGTACCAGTTAACCATTGCAGAAGAAAACAGTGAATGAGATAGCACAGTTAAAAGAGCACCAGTCAAACCTTAAATAATAAAGTACAATGTAGAATACAGATGGAAATGTGACATTTTTGTTAGTCTCATGTATTCATTTAGAGAGGTAACAGTCTCCTCATCCCTCTGACACTGTTTAAGTGTCTCCTAACTTTTTACCATTTTTCACCACCTCAGCCAAGCTTAAAAATGTTTTTGTTTTTGTTTTTTTTGCGATATTTTAAGTTTTGAGAATTGTAGCATTTCTACTCAGCTTTTTTTTTTATTCAGAAATTAAAGATGCACATAAAAATGGTGCTTACTAGAAAGGACTTATGAACTAGACTACTATGGACTTATGAAAGGACATTACACATGGGCATCACTAGGCCTGTCACGATAACAAATTTTGCTGGCCGATTAATTGCGTCAGAAATTGTTGCGATAAGCGATAATATTGCGTAATATTGTGCTTTTAAGACCATTTTTGATATTGTTGTAATTTTGATGTTTTTAGACCATTTTTTAAGCTTATATAATGATAATAAATGCATAATGATGCAAGTACACCCTTGTAAAGAGAAATAAACATTTATTTAACAAGAGTATTTAGGAATGCAAAAAAGAAAATTTAAATATCCGAAATAACAAGAAAAAATATCAAAATAAATAAATAAATACATACAAAAAAATAGACTCTCAGTCTCTCACTCTCAGGTGTGCAGTTAAGTTGGTCATATTCACTCTTTTTGTTGAGATGGTTTCAGAACAAACCCGGCTTACCATCTTGTCCAGATTACTGGGCTCCCCTCTGTCATTTGGTTTAAATCCAAAACACTCCCACACAGGGGTTGTGGTATTTGGTTTGGGAACAAGTTCCATGTCTTTCTCTTACGCTCAACTCTCTTTTTTTTTTCTCCGCCTCGTCTCCCCCTCATGAAGATCGCATTGTGTGTGTGTGCGTGTGTAGCCCATAGCCCCGCCTCCCCCACAGAGACAAAGACACTCGATGACAAGAGCTTTCCCTCCGTTCATTACGCTAATGAACCAACTCACCTGGCTGCCAGATGATGCATGGCAGTGAACGCTCTGGTCGTCCAGTCTCTTTGGTGGAGAGAGACGAGGAAAACAAATACGCATGAATATGGCAATTAATCGCGGCCGGAAAGTTACCGTCTCCCTTTTCATTTACCGTGCAATTAACTGACTTATCGCGTATCGCGACAGGCCTAGGCATCACGCAAGTACATGGTAACCACTCCACAAATGGAAAACCAAGTTGCAAACTTAAATCCCCAAACTTTTTCTCACAAAAAAATGTTCCTGGCATCAAGCTTTATGTGTAGATTATGGATGTGTTTTTAAACATGTCAACAGTGTTTGATATAGAGTACAGTCTGAACACATTTGGACTCTGAATCATTTTTTTGGCTCAAAGAACATAGGATTTCAAATGAAAGTGTCTATAAGGTTGATAGAAACCTTGCTGCATGTAAACGGTATGAATCGTGGCCCATTTTGGATGTTGGTCCCCCAGTTTTGGAAGTCTGGATATAAACACTGTCAGATGAAAGTCTGCACTTCACACTCAATAGCTGTTGTTTTTAATTTGTGATACAGTGTACTTGAGTGTAGCACCAAAACAACAGAAACTGTCCAGATTCATACTGACTGCACCAGATGAGTATTAGTTACACAGTGTAACTACCCAACAGAAACCTTTCATTTTGTAATTGTATCATCTTTGTACAAACTGCTTTTACTAACTGTCTCTGCATTTTATCCTTCTTTCTTCTTCTGTCATGTTTCTCTGGACTAATGTTGATCACACTGTCACTGTACGCTGTGGTGAATGGATGGCTTTTTTCACCTCTCATTTCTGCTCTATCCATTCATTCCCCATCTGTCCTGTTGTCTATCTGTATCCATCCCTCCCCTGTCCTCTGGGCTGTCCTGTGGTCTCCTAGCTCTGCTCCTCCCTCTGAGGATCCTGCTCCTCCCCTGTCTGAGGCAGACGAACTTCTTAACAAGTAAGGTCTTTCTCTGTGTGTAAGCTTTGTCATGTGTTTGCTTAGCTGCAGCCCTGCTTGATTTCTGTAGGAAGGGTTTGACTTGATAAGCACTTGGATAAGCCATTACATTTACTGCTTTGAGTTTTGTTATAGTGCAGCCATCTGACCAACATAGTGCTGTGATGAATTGGGTGATGATCAGTACTGATTGCTAATAGGTTCCTGTTTTAAAGAAAGCCAGTGCAAGATCCACCACTTTGCCTAATCTGTTTGCCATGCTGTTTTTCAAGTTGGACTTAATACTCTGAAATAATGAAATGTTTTTCTATACACTCTGTGGTTCACTCTGTTTTTTTTTACCAGAAAATACATTTGTACTGTTTGACTGGGGCTACTTACCTATTTATGCCTAATTATTGTTCACACTGGAAAACAAAGTGAGTCTTGAATACAAGAAGTCACTTTCTAAAAGTTACAGACAATCTGACACCAGTTCCACCAGGAGCAACAAAGACCTGTACAGACAACAACAAACACTGTTTATTTTGCACTGGTGAATTATTGATATCAAATGTTATATTCTTGACTTTAGTTATTCTTTTTGTCAAAGCTATATTTTAGTGCTGACTAAACCTTTAAATGCCTTCATGCTACAGGTTTGTGTGCAAGAACAACGGGGTTCTGTTTGAGAATCAGCTGCTGCAGATTGGCATCAAGTCAGAGTATCGTCAGAATCTGGGTGAGTTGTCACAGAAAGCAGGTCAGACCTTTTTTTTTTTTTTGTTAGTTTGGTAAGTGGCCGTAGCCTAATGCATTTTGTTAAGGCTCGGACATTATTTCTGCATTGAACGTCCGTGAATAGCTGCGGTCACGCGAAGCTGTTCTATTCACAGTACAGTTGATGTTCTGTGTCAGTCCCCAGCTGGAGATGGGCTGCCGAGATCAGATAAAACTGACACTAAACAAGGCTAATAGGTCTGGAGTGAATGTCTGTCAAATATCCAACCTAAACTACCTTCACTATGGTGAGGCGGCTGCAGCTGTGTTGACTGCAGTGTTTTGGACTGGACAGGAGTGTGGAGCAAAAGATTGAGTATGCACAGTCGGTGCAATTGCTGTGCCTACAGTCTGTGCTGTTACAAAAAATGTGCTGCACACAGACATAGGCACAAGCGTCCGTGTGGACTCTTGCAGAGATGGGTGGATGACAGCATTTACATCACACAGATGATACAGATGACTGTACTAAGTGGGTGTGACCTGAGTTTAAGTGGACTAATGGCTGTGCTTTGAGAAAATCCAGTTAACCAGATTGCCCCACCCTCGCCTCTATATAACAAGCAGCATGCTGCCAGGATCAAATGGAGTGCAGCCATTCATAAGTGGGCGTGGTTTGTTTCAGTTTGTTACTAAGTGGATGTGACCTGGGGCCTCATGTACAAAGGGTGCATATGCACAAAAACGTGGCATATGTCTTTTTCCTTGGCAAAGTTCAGATGTATCAAGAGTGAAATGACCGTGGAAATGTGCGGTGCCTCACGCCAACTTCATAATAAGAATAAGAATAACTTTATTCATTCCCAAGGGGAAATTCAATTATCTGTCAGCTCATCTATTATATGTCAAATAATTATAAAGCCTGGTGGCTGTTGGTATATAGGATCTTCTGTATCTCTCTGTCCTGCATCGAAGAGAGAGGAGCCGTCCACCACAGTTTTTTGGTCCATCAGGGTGTTGTGGAGTGGATGATCTGGGTTGTTCATGATGGCCTCGAACATCTTCAGTGTGTATCTCTCCACCACCTACTCCATTGTGTCCAACCTGACTCCAATCACAGAGCCAACTCTTTTGACTAGTTTGTCCAGCCACCTTGCATCTTTGTGTCTGATGCTTCCTCCCCAGCAGAGACTGCAGCATAAAACAACACACTTGCCACCACAGACTGATAAAACATCTGCAGCATCTTACTACAGATGTCGAGAGATCTGAGCTTCCTCAAGAAAAAGAGGTGACTCTGCCCCTTTTTGTAGAGAGCGTCTGTGTTTAGGGACCAGTCCAACTTATTATCCTGGTGTACACCTAGATTACTTATAGCTTGGCACCACCTCAATGTCCTCCCCACAGGTATTCAGTGGCTGAAGAGGGGGCTTGGCTCATTTCCTTGGTCTTTGAGGTGTTCAGGAGGAGACAGTTCTTGTGACTCCAGTCACTGAAGGCTTTTATCAGGTCCCTATATTCAGACTCCTGTCCATTCCTGATACACGCCACAATAGCAGTGTCGTCCGAGTATTTCTGGATGTGGCAGGACACAGAGTTGTATTTGAAGTCCGCCGTGTACAGTGTGAACAGGAATGGAGCCAGGCCAGTCCCTTGTGGAGCCGCAGTGCTGCTCATTAATGTCCCAGACACACAGTTCCCCAACCTGACATACTGTGGCCTTCCTGTGAAGTAATCTGTGATCCTGGAGATAAAGGAAGGATCCACTGCCATCTCTGTGAGCTTGTCTTTGAGTATGTTGGGTTGGATGGTGTTGAATGTGCTTGAAAAATCAAAGAACATGATTCTCACATAAGCGCCAGGTTCCTCCAGATGAGCTAGGCAGTGAAGCATGTAGAGGACAGCATCGTTCACTCCAATGTGTTGTTTGTATGCAAACTACAGGGGGTCGAGTTTGTCTTTGATCTCGAGTCTCAGTAGGCGTAGAATCAGCCGCTCCAAGGTCTTCATGATGTGCAAAGTGAGGGATGCTGGTCTGACGTCATTAAGTTAAGCTGGACATTTAATTTTTGGTACCAGCACGACACAGGAAGTCTTCCACAGTGCCGGCATCCGCCCCAACTGTAGACTGAGGTTGAAGATCTTGTGGAGAGGTTGACACAGTTGGGCAGCACAGTCTTTAAGGAGCCTTGGACACACACCATCTGGGCCAGCAGCCTTCCCAGAGCAGTCTTCCCAGCTCCAACCTCATCCCCATCTCTGTGACAGACAAGGGTGGAGGCACAGGCGTAAGAGAGGGGGTGGCTGCCACACTGGAGTTGTACACAAGTTGTGGAGGTGGAGGTGATGGAGGTGGAGGAGGAGGAGGAGGAGGAGGAGGAGGAGGAGAAGCAGCATTGGAAGTGGGAGTGGCTGCCATATTGAATCTATTGAAGAACTGATTGAGTTCATCAGCTCTTTCTGCATCACCCACCACTGGCTGTCTTTTCTTGTTGTTGTAACCAGAGATGGTGTTGACTCCTCTCCACATTTCACAGATGTTGCTGTGTTGTAGATTCCTCTCTTGTTTCTTTTTGTATTCCACCCTTGCCATCTTAAGTCTCTTCTTCAACTCATGTTGCACTTGTTTGAGCCGTGCTTTGTCACCATCTCTAAAAGCTGCCTTCTTCTCATTGAAGATTGCCTTTATGTCACTGGTAATCCAAGGTTTGTTATTGTCTGCAGAAGAACCAAGCTGTGATCGGACCTGCCCAGTGGTGGTAAGGCAATGGCTCTATAAGCTTCTTTGACATTGGCATACAGCAGATCAAGGGTTTTATTTTCTCTGGTTGGACAGTTAACAAACTGTGTAAATCCAGTCAGGTGAGAGGAGAGGGAAACATGGTTGAAGTCTCCTGATATAATCAATAGTGCCTCAGGATGTTTAGTCTGTATCTTAGCAACGAGTTCATGGAGAACTTCACATGGAACTTCAGCAGTTGCCTTGGGTGGGATGTACACATTCATTCATTCATTCATTATATTTTATTTCCGTGTCATGCCATATATTTGGCCCATCCCACATGGGATTACAAGACACATTATTTACAAAATATACATCTTCCGGTCTTACATATACAAAACATGTGGGAAAAGAAAAGAAACACAAACAATATAAATAAATATAAAAGAACTGTTATATATCTATGAATGTATAAAGAGCTTTTTTCCTCTTCTCTCAAGCTTTCTCCAGATACCTGGCTAATTTATGTTTCATGTGTAAACAGCCAACTCAGTCTTTGTGCGTCCTTCATATTTACAAAATCAGCATCCATTCTTGTCTTACTAAACAACACTTCACGCAGTTCACAATATAAAGGACAGTAGAAAACAAAATGAAACTCATTTTCTATATCATTTAAAGAACATATTGGACAAATCCGTCTTTCTTCTTCTAAATTAACATACCGTCCAGTTTCCACAGCCAGAGGTAAAATGCCAGATCTCAGCTGGGCACATAAAGATCTCTGCTTTTTTGACAAATTATATACAACATAATTCTCTGTACCATATTCAGTTTTTATACTTGTAAAAGTACGCAGTTTTGGTTTAGTCTATATATCCTCTGTCCACTGTACTTTTTCCTCAGTGAACAAAGATTCTCTAAACAAATTAATATCAAGTTTTTCATTATCAAAAAAGGCATTACCAAACCCAGAACTAAAAAATAATGTACACAAGTATTGTTATGATATGACTGAATTCTCTTGGTACATAATATGGCCTCATACCAACTGCTAAAAGTTCAATATCTGGACAACACATCTTCTCCTTGACAGTAATATAGCCAGACCCCCACCTTTTTTTCTTGCCACTAGCTTTAGAGTCTCTGTCCAATCGTATGAGAGTGAAGCCAGGTAGATCCATGTTGGAGTCTGAGATGTTTTGATTCAACCACGTTTCCGTAAAACACATGATACTGCACTCATTGTATACTTTCTGAGTTTTCACCAATATCTCCAGTTCATCACTCTTGTTGGGCAGAGAGTTGACATTTCCCATGATGACTGATGGCAGAAAGGGCTTATATCTCCATTTCCAAGCCTTCACCTTTGCACCAGCACGGCAGCCACAAAAACACCTCTTCATCTCGGCTGGAATAGGATGGTGTCCTCCAGACTTGCTCCGTTTCAATGAAAAAAGCTCCTCTCTTGAATAAACTCTTCTCTTCACAGAAGTATCCATTAGTAGTTGAGAAAAATATAATAAACATTCAGTAAAACTAAGTAAATTGCAGAGCTACCGGACTTTGCTGCTACTAGTTGAAGCGCATGTTCTAGAAATATGGCTGGCGTATTCTACAGCTGTTGATCCTTTGGCGACACTTAGAGGTGATGCTGGGAAACTGTTATAATAAATAAATGTGAAAACAATTAGTCCCCAGCCATCACAGGATGAATTTGTTTGTCGCAGAGAAGTCTGGAAATTATGGTATGGAAAAGTATGGAATTTTGAAATTCCAAATGTGTAGGAACCCTGAACGCATTATTCATACATTCTGAGTAACAGCATGGTTGGGAACAGACTACTAGCTGGCACTGTTCGTGATGGGTAGCTTCTTGGTGAGTAAATAATTTATTTGTTTAATTGTCCTAATATTAATCCCCCTGATGCACATTGAGCATGTGCGCCCCCAAATATTATCCTGTCTTCACAGCATCAGTACTAGTCAGTGGTTAAAGTTAGTGACTTGCTGTTTTTTGCTGGTTAAACTACAGCTTCAGAGCTTTCTAACAAGTCCCTGATTGTCTCTGTGTGTAAAGTACTCATGTCAATAAACCCGTGCGTAAAGTGTGAAATTTCTTAATCAGCTTAACCTTTTCCCCCAGTGTACTTCTGCATTCATTTATGAACATTTACGCATGAATCGTATAGGGCTGTTAGCGGGCTATTGTATGACCCGTATGAACACATTTGTTGTAAGTTTCACAAATTTATAGGTATTTACCTTGGGGGTAATCCGAGTCGCCCACATGTGCTCCCACCACCCCTGAGAGAGCAGTGTCAATCACAATTGTGGCGACTCTCTGTTCAAACGGGGTGAGCTCCTCCTCTCCTGTCCCCTGCCTGTTTGGCCACACTTTGCCAGTGGACAGTCATCCTCGGCTTCACGTCCACCTTAATATCGGACCATTTCTTTTTTTAATTCTGCGTGTGTACGCTTTTCTGACCCCACAGCATTGACAGCCTCATACACCCTCTCCCACTCACTCTTCTTGCGCTTAGTATTGATGCCAGAGGACAGCGTGCCAGTACGTACATTTTTGCGCACCTCCACTTCAGTGAGTAGCATCTCCAATTCGCATTCTGTGAAGTTTTTCCTGTCTTACTCATTCTTTTGTTTTAGTTTTCTGATCGTTCAGAGAGGAGAATCTCAGGTGCAGGGCCCATTTAAATATGATTTGCATATTTAAATGGGGGAGTGGACAGGGAGGGGTCGTGTACTCCAATATGTGCACTCAATTCTCAAGGAAATGTGCTTGGATTCATGCATATGCACAGATTCATACATCTGGATGTTTTTGTGTTTACGACGTTTTCTGGATTTAAGCGTACGCCATGTTTCAGTAGGAAATCCACGCAAGTCTTTGTACATGAGGCCCCTGGTGTTTTGACTGTGCCTACTGTATTTGATACTTTTACTACTTTGTACTCAGTACTCCATAAACTATCAGCCATATAAATAAGCAGAATGACCTTGTAACAATCATGTCTCTTTCAGGGAGAATGTACTTATTTTACGGTAACAAGACGTCAGTGCAGTTTGCCAGCTTCACCACCACAGTCAGCTGTCCTGGAGAGCTGCAGACTCATATCCTTTCTGTATACATGTTTCAGTATGTGAACAAACCACAAAAGCTTCAATGGGATAACTGGGACTCAGCGTGGTTTTCAGCCACTTCAAAGCAATCTCTGGATTCAAAGAAAAGCCCAGCCCACCTCAGTCGATAATAGCTCACTGCAGGTACAGACCGTTTTCAAGGTGTCCTTCGGCTGCTAGGAAACGACACTGTTGTTCCACTTAGACTTCTGGTCCAGCCACCACTGCATGAAAACAGTACATGTAAAGCTGAACTTTAGTCTTCCTAAACTGAAATACACACTGAGGGAAATGGCGAAACTAGTTTTAGGATTCATGCTGCTAAATGGTAGGTTGTTTCCATTGACGAGATACAAACTTGATGTCAGAAACAAAAGTTTACCATCTCCATAAAAAAATGAACCAGCGCAACATTGTAAACAAACCATCTCTTGCCAACAGTCTACAGGGGGACAAAGAAGCATTTGTATTTGTGTGTGCTGTGTGTCTGTCTTGTTATTTTTATTCTGAAAAACTTTACGGAAATGAAATGAGCGCTACAGACCCAGAAGTTTTATGTCCAGTTCTTTCTTCTGACAGCTGCGTGAGAAAAGTAAATCTTAACAGTAAAGTCTTGCTTAATTGACACTTTGTGCTTTGACTTAAATTTATTTCATTAAATTGAAATAGAGAAATCTATGATATAAATCATCAGTGACAGAAAACAATAGAAAGAACATGCTGCGTATCTAATACTGATGATTGTAACTCTGTGCCTTAAGCCTGGTATACACTGTGCAATTTTGGGTTGTCCCAGAAAAAAGGTGACCAACATGAAAGAAATGTGGCGATATACCGATTATAGCCCGATGCAGCGACGTACGTATGTGTTTGTCATGGATCGTGAACGACAATGAGTGTCATACACAATAATCCATCATTTCATCTTGTGTAGTGTGTCATAGTTAATGACAACTGACACCTCACGACGTTCCGACAGAAAGTCTAGCATGTTTGATTTTCTTTGTGTCGTTCACAACTGCTCCCATCACTTTGACCAATAGAAACACAGAGCAATCTGCTGCTGTGGACAACTGTATGACAACAACACCCCAGCCTTTTTGATATTTTCTCTAGGGATGCCGGTGTGAAACAGCAGAGGCACTTTATCAACCTGGTGAGTACTGCAATTAGCATCAAGCTAGCAAAGAATGTTATTTCTTTATAATCGAGACGGACATAGAGTAAGAAAATTAAAAAATAGTGGTGGGGCTTTTACTTAACACAACTGCAAAGGCTGCCAGCTTCATTTGAAACAGACTACATTATAAACGGGCTGTTATTTATTATTCCCTCTGTATTTTTATATTTTTACTTTATATCCGCTCCCGTTTGCCTTGATAAAGTTAATGCATTGCGCCATAATTTCAAACTCAACACTTCCTGTATGTGTTTCAAATTAAGAGCCCCTGGTAACTTCGGTTGAGAGAATCCATTCATTTTCTAAAGAAGCTTTTATTGTGAAACATTTGCAGGAAGTTGTTGTGGAGGATTCAGTGACTAGGGCTGTCAACGAATATTCTAAATTCGAATTTAAATTCGAATTTGAAAAAAAAATGGACCTTCGAATGTGAAAATTGATATTCGATTGTGGAGAGAAAAAAAAAAACACCACTGCAGCTGTCCTCTTTGCGAGTAGGCGTTGGCATCAGACGCGCATTTCTCCAGCCTGGTCGACAAGCGGTTCTGCTCCCAGCTGTTGTCTCCGTCACTCGGCTTGACACATTCGCTCACGGCTCGCGCAGAAAATAGATCAGACGCCGAAACGATCACTGCAGGGCACGAGCCGGTCACGGTCCGGTGCTTCGAGGCTATACGCAGCGCTTCCGCGCGCGGTTTGGCCACGGGTCAGAGAGGGGGGGTGAGCGAGAGGTCCGCGGTCATTTATAACGTAATGTTATAGATAATTGTTTTATGTGTTTTAATGTGTAGGTATGTAAATGTTTTCAAAGACGTTTATGTTGAAATAAAAATAGCTACAACTAGTTACGTTTCCTTGTATTAATACATATACATGTATGTTTCCTTGTATTAGTTTGCCCTCTTGTGGACATAATGCGGGGAAAAAAAATATTCGAATGGTTCGAACCTATGAGTTATTTTTAGAAGGAATATTCGAACGTCATTTTTGAGCAATTTTGACAGCCCTATCAGTGACTTGCATGTTTGCATATGGTACTTCATATGTAGCTCCTGCCATCTGATGACGCTTTTTTACATTACTACAACAACATTTCAGCTGGCACATAAACAGACACAGTGACTAAAATAATAGTAAAAGTAACAAAAAATAGGACAAGAATAATCCGATGACATCATACAAGTTTTGAAAGAATACCAGGTATGATTGGTGTGGACCATCGTGTAGTGCGTCATGTCTGTTGGCCAAGTCATGGCACGATTTTATGTCTCCTCGCGTAATGTTACATAGTGACTGTCAGAATGGACAGAAATGTCATGTAGTGTGTACCAGGCATAAAAGGGTGGACTTACGTCATACAGTGAGAGAGGTTCAAGGTTGGCCGTTGTGGGATGACCATCTTACTGTGCGACTGCTGTTACGACTTATGACTACCAACCAACCAACAGAAAGGGAAGAAGGGAACAGTAGCGGAGTTGCAGCTGCCAAGTGAGCAACCTAGCAGCTAGCAAACACACACAAACACACTGCAGTATATAGTGCCCACTAAACTTTTTTAAGGTTTTTTAATGTGACCCTCTATGTTGCGCTTTACAGTTGGAGAGGTAATAACCCATGCAGCATCCTTGTGCACTCAGTATGGGAAGCTATTGCATTGTATGTTGCAGCCTGCGATTCAGTAGGCGTACATCGCACAGTCTGCATACATCAATAGGGATGCACCGAATATTCGGTAACCGAATATATTCGGCCGAATATTGCAAAAAAACACACATTCGGTATTCGGTGGAATAAGTTAAAAGCAAGGCCGAATAATAGCGGCGTGTTTTGATAACACAATCAAACAGCGTGCCGTGACGGGTGGAATAAAATGTTGGCAGTGTGGCGATTCGCCCGTCACGGCACTCGCATTTGCAACTAAAAATAGTTTTGAGCGAGCAAAATAGGCTTAAATCATTCAGCACGCTGTGTGAGTACAGATTTCAACCACCAGCAGAAACGAAAGGCGAATCCCACCGATTGTGGGTTGAACGGGGGTCACAGACACAGACGTAAATGTATTCCTGTCAAATACGGCGGCCATCGGCTTACCGCGACGGAGAAGTCAGTTCCAATAATATCCTCTTCTTGGTGTCATGACTGCCCAAAAGTACCTGAACAGCCGAGCCAGCCGAACACAGGTATGTGACGTGTCAGAGGAGAAACGAGCCTTTCACATTTCTGTCTTTGTGTCAGTAACGGCCCACAAACCTCACCGCACTTAAGGGACTGTTCATTACTTATGAAGGGACTTGTCAGGGGAGGAGGGTGGCTGGTTGATTTTTATTTTATTTATTTATTTTATTTTGATCCCCCCTATGTTAATCACTTATTGATGCTGTTTTTGAAGTATGAAAAGGTCAATAAGTAATTTATTCCATTAAAATATCATTGATGTATTATAGAAAAGTGATTTATCTTTTTATAAATGACAAAAGGCACATCTGCCTCATTTTCGCTGTGGTATTGTGATACTACTCAGAACCATGATACTTTCACTGGTATCACACAGTGGGTCCCAATTTTGGTACCGTGACAACACTAATCTGGAAGGAGTTCATCTGCAAAAACTAATGAAAAACTAAACAATGGTATTCGGTACTCTGTATTTGGCCAAGCGTTTAATAATATTCGGCTTCGGCCACAAATTTTCATTTCGGTGCATCCCTATACATCAAACTTGATATCGTACCCAAGTTTATTAGACCCATGCCACACAGTGTAGCTGCACTAAACTTACAAGATTGCTAAAATCTCACAGTCTCTAGGAGGCATTACAGTTGTTGCTATGTAAGTGAAAAATTAATATAATAATGGAGACTTCATAATGCTGCCTGATTGACAAAACTTTCACTGACTTTATGAGGCAGTGTGAACACTGTCCACAGTCTGAGGTGTGAAAAAGTTAGTCTGTGTGATGTCTTGATGCTCCTTGACAACCCGCCACAGCTCAACGTTCAGACCAAACCAGTGGAACCACTGGTAGAGGGTGGAGCCCAAATCCAACAGGTCCTCAACATAGAGTGTCTGACTGACTTCTCTGATGCCCCGCTGCTTAACATCAAATTCAGGTAAGCACATAAAACCAACCCCAGTCATGATGTTAAGCAATGAAAAACTACACATTGAAAGTTGGTCAGAATGGGTTTGATGGACCTGAAAAATTAGCCCTTTTCCTTCACTGTATGAATTATCAAACAGGACTGCTAAGGAAGGCAGCTACGGAACATTTTCAATTCTTTCTATGGGTTTCAACACTTTTTCATTATATGCTTTACTTTGAGGTTCATAAACCACAAAAACTCAAGTTGTTAAACAGTGTCCAAATACAAGCAGCTTGTCCAGATGCAGTATATTTGGCCAAATTGTGATTACAATCAAGAACTAACAAAAAGCAAAATCTCTCATCTATTTCATGCCAACTTTCAGGACTTTGGAGATTTTGATTTGCAGCGCTGCCGACATTAAGGTCGGGGCCAGTAAGATGTTGAAATTGGATAAGCAGTTCTTTGTCAAAGTTTGTGATGGTTAATCTTCTTTAGTTTGCTGCAGTGGCTTGTCGTGTGATCATGGTAGTCACTGAAACAGGAGCTGATTTTAGTGTGATAGTGGTGATGATGCTCCTCTTTACCAGCAGAAAACAGACAGATCAGTGAAGAGAAACAGGCCCTGAGCAACATCAGTTTTAAAGTCTGATAATGTGCTCTGAGACAAACATTTGTGATATTAGTTATAAATCATGTCACATTACGAACCTTTTCCTCACTTAATGTTGTAACCTGCACTGTTTAGCGTGTGATGAGATGATATTAGGTGGACAGTAGATAGCAGCTCTGCTTTTTGAAATCGTCGCACGTTTAAAAGGTTCGTTTTTCTGGGTGTTTTGCATCTGTCTGTGGCATAACTTACAGGAGGCATACATGTGCAGCAAGAGAGAGGAACGGGGACCACAGTATAATTTCCTTACTCAGATAGCTCACTTTCAGCAGGTCAGATCGTAATATTCAGGTGGAGAATGATGATGAGGAGGATTTAATACAGGACGAAGAGAGCACACAGACAGACTGAGAGGGATGGTGCCAGGGAGATATCTCCAGTGAAGAGAAGAAAGGGAGCAAATGTGTTTTTTAATTTTGTCTCATACACTGAGCAAAAATATAAACGCAACACTTTTGTTTTTGCTCCCATTTTTCATGAGCTGAAAGATCTGAAACATTTTCCACACACACAAAAGACCATTTCCCTCAAATATTGTTCACAAATCTGCCTAAATCTGTGTTAGTGAGCACTTCTCCTTTGCCAAGATAATCCATCCCACCTCACAGGTGTGGCATATCAAGATGCTGATTAGACAGCATGATTATTGCACAGGTGTGCCTTAGGCTGGCCACAATAAAAGGCCACTCTAAAATGTTCAGTTTTATCACACAGCACAATGCCACAGATGACGCAAGTTTTGAGGGAGCGTGCAATTGGCATGCTGACTGCAGGAATGTCCACCAGAGCTGTTGCCTGTGAATTGAATGTTCATTTCTCTACCATAAGCCGTCTCCAAAGGCTTTTCAGACAATTTGGCAGTACATCCAACCGGCCTCACAACCGCAGACCACGTGTAACCACACCAGCCCAGGACCTCCACATCCAGCATGTTCACCTCCAAGATCGTCTGAGACCAGCCACCCGGACAGCTGCTGCAACAATCGGTTTGCATAACCAAAGAATTTCTGCACAAACTGTCAGAAACCATTGGTGGCGGTGGGGTTATGGTATGGGCAGGCGTATGTTAGGGACAACGAACACAGGTGCATTTTATTGATGGCATTTTGAATGCATAGAGATACCGTGACGAGATCCTGAGGCCCATTGTTGTGCCATTCATCCACAACCATCACCTCATTTTTTTTATTTTTTTTTTTTTTTCCTACTTGTCTGCATTGGTCTTCATAGCTTAGCGCCACTAAAGGGTGTAAGCTTCTTGTGAAGATTGATGCACTGTTAATCTTGCAGTCAAGTATTTTATACCCATAATGCGTGGTTGTGACCGTCACCCACCCTCCCTGGAGACTAGCCTAACAGCCTTTATTGGAAAAACTTCCTAATATGAGTCAGAGAGGGCCGTGATACACCAAAGTGTGTCAAGGGGAAAGTAAGGAAACAAGCAAGGGGGAGGGGGCAGGTGCTTAAGTCCTGAGTTATATAGTGACAGTGCATGCGGAGAAGAAGGAGGAAAAACAAACAAATAAACAAACAAACGAAAAAAAAAAAAGGGGAGAAACAGGCAGTGTAGCTGATGTATTGTGGCCTTGAGGTGGTTGTGCTCCATGCAGATTATCGAAAATAAACATATACATGTCTACTATACTGTACTGAAAAACAAAAACAAAAGAGAAGTCTATACTGAACACCAAAAATGTGAGAGTCTTGGTGGAGGGGGAAAGCCCAATTGCAGAGAAGAGTTGCCAGCGCGGTGTGGTAGGTTTGAGAAGCAAGTGGGCCCCTTTGGAGTGATCCCATCGGTTCTTTGCGATGCGTCACGGAGCTGAAGTATCGAACATGCATGTGTGTATTTGAACCCTCCCAATGTGTTTATGAAAACCATCACCAGGGTCCAGGGCCAGCCCTGCGGGGGAAGGGGGGCGGTATGGCACCCCAAGACCGCAGGAGCGCCCAGACCCCAAGACCAGGGAGCCGCAGAGGCTGCAGGACACCACGCAGGCCCAAGGACCCAGGGCGGCAATGGCCGGCACCCCCAGAGAGCCAGAGACACACCCCAGACAGGCGGGGCAGGAGGGCCCGCCCACCCACCGCCCGACGCGGACCCCCCCAGACACCGGGAACCCAGCCACACCACCATGATGTAAATGGGCTCCCTGGCTCCAACCCTCAGCCCAGGAGGGCCGGGCCCCACGAGCCACGCCATGCGTATCTACAGTGTGTGTAAACCCACCACCCACCCTCTTACTATGATTCTCCGATCCCTGACGGAGAAACATTAACCCTACACCGTGAATGTGAATGTGAGTGCCCATAAGTGTGATGTGGTGCATTAAAATTGAGGGAAGTAGGAGACAGGTGGGGGCAAGGCTGATGGCTACAGCACACTGCTGTCCTGCAGCCCGTGCAGCCATAGGCACCTGGAACCTGTTCCCAACTGTCCCACAAGATGTAGGTGTATGTGGTGCTTTTAAAATTGGAGAACAGATAAGGATGGGCCGGGGGACAGCATAGAGGGCTACCGGACACCACTGTCCCATAGCCTGCCCCATCATGAAGCCCCCCAATCCATCAGTGGTCTGCACCTCGAAGAGTGAGTGTATGTGGTGCTTTTAAATTGTGTAATGTGTGGTGTGTGAACTAAATGTGGTTTAGGAGGCCAGGCCAGTGTAGGCCCGGCCCGAGGGCTGGAGGGATGGATGGGAGGGGCTAGAAGGTGGCGCCAACCAGACCCCGGCGCCGCGAGGCCCCCAGCGCCCATGGACAGCGGGCCAGGCGGGCCCCAAGGAAACCCAACGGGCCCCCACCCAACCCCGCCCCCCAAGCAACTGCAGCGTCAGGCCCCTGCAATGGTCCCGACCTGGGCCACACTGTCTGCAGCTAATCGACCCCCAGCAGAAGGACGAGGCGCGCCACCAGGGTGCACGGACGACAGGCCCCACCCAGCCCCCCCGAACCCCGACGCGCAGGAGCACAGGCCAACCTGCAACCCCGCCAGTACCCCCCCAGACCGCCACAGACCCAAAGTCGGACTCCCAGCCCATCCGACCTGCCCCCTACCGCCGGCCGCACACCAACGGGCAGGCCCACACTGCGCAGCACCAGAACACCCCCCGCAGGCAGCACCCAGCCCCCACACCAGGCCCCCCAACCCGGGGGAGGACCCCGGGCCCGCCCGAGGCCAGGAGAGAGGAGCAGGGAGAGACGGGGAGAGGGGGGAGGGAGGAGGGAGGGGGAAGGGCAGGAGTGGAGCGAGGGGGGAGCCCACCCACCCCGCACCACCAGGGGCGGAAACAGCCCCCCAGGGGGGACCGGCCACGCCGCCCCAGGCCCGGGGAGCACGAGGACAACCATCACCTCATGTTGCAGCATGATAATGCACGGCCCCATGTTGCAAGGATCTGTACACAATTCCTAGAAGCTGAAAACATCTCAGTTCTTGCATGGACAGCATACTCACCAGACATGTCACCCATTGAGCATGTTTGGGATGCTCTGGATCAGCGTATACGACAGCGTGTTCCAGTTCCTGCCAATATCCAGCAACTTCGCACACCCATTGAAGAGGAGTGGACCAACATTCCACAGGCCACAATCAACAACCTGATCAACTCTATGTGAAGATGTGTTGCACTGCGTGAGGCAAATGGTGGTCACACCAGATACTGACTGGTTTTCTGACCCCCCCAGACCCCCCCAATAAAGCAAAACTGCACATTTCAGAGTGGCCTTTTATTGTGGCCAGCCTAAGGCACACCTGTGCAATATTCATGCTGTCTATCAACATCTTGATATGCCACACCTGTGAGGTGGGATGGATTATCTCGGCAAAGGTGAAGTGCTCACTAACACAGAGACAGACTTAGACAGATTTGTGAACAATATTTGAGGGAAATGGTCTTTTGTGTATATAGAAAATGTTTTAGATCTTTGAGTTCAGCTCATGAAAAATGGGAGCAAAAACAAAAGTGTTGCGTTTATATATTTGTTCAGTGTATTACAAAGTTTCACAACTAATTGAGCAGTACAATGCATTGGGTCCCACGGTGCAAGGTTTCTGTGCGTTAAGATTTTTTGGCAGATGACAGATTTAAAAAATGCATCTGAAAATATGGACTTGGTGTTCAAAGTCCTTAACTCAGAAACACACTTTGAAAGCACATTCTTTTCTGCTGATACACTTGAAATGATTAAGACTAACTAGTAACAGCTATCACTGGAGTATAGGGAGAGGAAAAAAACTAAAGTTATGTGCTCTGGACAAGATAAATCAATCCTGTCTACATGGAACTTTAGGCAGAAACATACAGATGGATATGTAGACCTGCAGTGTGTATGTGTTATGATCAGATACGGTGGAGCGCTGCAGAATCTGACCCTGAAGCTGCCTGTCACTATCAACAAGTTCTTCCAGCCAACTGAGATGTCCTCACATGACTTCTTCCAGCGCTGGAAACAGCTTAGCCAGTAAGTGTGTGTGTGTGTGTGTGTGTTGGGGGGGGGCATAGAATTTCCCTGGTAAAGCTGCTGACCTTTCCTGTGTCAACTCTCCTCAGGCCTCAGCAAGAAGCACAAAAGATATTCAAGGCTAACCACAGCATGGACACTGAAGTACTTAAGGCTAAGGTACACACACATTAAACTACTCATTCTTTTGTTTGCTTCTCCTGCTTTTTATCATCACAGAGCTTACCAGCCACATCTGTCTCCATAAGAAAGGCTGTGTGGGGACCTGGCTGTGTGCTTCTGAATGTACACCACCCAACACTTCAGTATTCTTGCTTACAACCAAGGATTTGTTTGTAATTGACAATTTTACATACATTGTTTGTACATACCGCATCTTTACCAATCAGCCAAAGAGAAAGGGTGTTAAATTATATAAATTGTGCTGATTATGCTTCATTTTCATTTACAGTTCAAAGTAAAGTAACAAAAAACTTATCTGGGCTCTCATGTTGTAGTAGATACCTAAGTTTAATTGGTGTTCAAAGTGTATGAAAATCCATATTTATAAGTCTAAACAACTTTTTTCATAAGGAATACTGCCGTTTTGTCAGTAATGTCCTATATGATGATATTATTATCTTTCTACGGTCTCCTTCATCCTTTCTGATGCATGTGTGCTGATATGTTTGTGCGCAGCTACTGGGACTAGGAACGGCCCTGCTGGACAACGTCGATCCAAACCCAGAGAACTACGTGTGTGCTGGAGTGATCCAGACTAAAGGCCAGCAGGTCGGCTGTCTGCTAAGACTGGAGCCAAATGCCCAGGCACAGGTACAACACAGCAAATACTCTAACTTTTCTTTGCGCGACTTCAGAGTTTTAACTAAATATTCTTCTTAATCAAACAGCTGCCAGGCAACCAGAACCAACAGCGCTCGACAGTGCGAGCGTTTCACTCGTATTTGCGACTAAAAATATAACTGTAAAAAATATTTACGGGCACATGTGCGCATAAAAAAATCAGCCGAAGCAGTCTATATTTTTTGTCAATAAAAAAATATGATAATCTAACCGCAAATGTTGGAGGAACTCCAGCCGCCTTCCCTCTTCCCCGTGTGACACGGTTATGGGCGGTTTTCCAAGCCACTGTCGGCACAATGAATATAAGTCCCGCTGTCGGCAGTGTGGAAATAAGTCAAAGTGTGGAGGAGATAGACCAGGTTAAGCGGCGGAACTCTGGGGAAGCCTGCTCCGTTCTCCCCGCAGTTAGGGACCGTTCTCCACGGCCAGGCCGTCAGCTGGGTGGAAATAAGACAAAGTGTGGTGGAGACGAGGGACCAGGAAAAGCAGCGGACCTCCGGGGAAGCCTGCTCTGTTCTCCCCGCAGTTAGGGACCGTTCTCCACGGCCAGGCTGTCGGCTGGGTGGGAATAAGTCAAAGTGTGGCGGAGAAGAGGGACCGGGAAAAGCGACGGAACTCCGAGGAAGCCTGCTCCGTTGTCCCAGCCAGGCTGTCGGCTGGGTGGGAATTAGTCAAAGTGTGGCGGAGAAGAGGGACCGGGAAAAGCGGCGGAATTCCGGGGAAGCCTGCTCCGTTCTCCCCGCAGTTAGGGACCGTTTGCCACGGTACCACTGCTGGGCAGGGTGGAATTAAGTCCTGCAGAGTTTCAGAGGACCTGGAGAATGTTTTAGGATAGTAATAACATCATATGAGATAATCATATTGCAAAGATAATATGTATAAGATAATAATATTAAAGAAAAAATTAAATTGCAACATTTTTTCAAAACTTGATGATTTTACCTGTCTGTACATTTTGTATACAAATTCATTAAATAATTTTGCTTGTAAATGTCTATTTGCATCAAGTTTATTACGGAAAACACATTATTTGATCAATTTACATTGTGCCCCTAAAGTTCTTTGTGCGCTCCTTACTTTTTCAACTTGGGAGCACATGTGCTCCTTGGGAAAAAAGTTAGCATCAAGCCCTGACCAAGTGTTTTCCATGTTCATCACTACATGTGAGAATGTAGATTCGGAGGAAATTGTATAATTCTGCTGTATAGCTTAGCTGATGTGTGAACAGTTTTCTGATCCTATCACTGTATGTATATCAGCTATGAACAAAAACCCTTGGTTGGTTCAGTACTATTTTTACACATGCTCCAATTTTGAAATCAAGTAGACCAGTTTTGGTCTTTAAACAAACCTAAACAACACGGCTGTTAAACTGAGACCTGACCCAGGACCAGAGTAAGACTAGGTCCAAATTATGTTTATTCTCATCAGGTTTTCGGATGTATTTTATGAATCTTAAAAGTGAAGTGTGCAAGATTTAGGGGGATGTGGTGGCTTCTGGTGTTGAATTGCAGATTGCAACCAGCTAAAAACTCCTGCAGTCAGAATTCCTTCAGTGTTCATGATTCAGATGATTAGTAACACTGAAAAGAACAGTTTCATGTTACAAATTGGTGCATTGAGGTCACTTCCTCTCCAAAACAAGTAGACCTGGTGAATTAAACCGGTAAAACATTGAAAATTGCAGTTTCATGTTACAAATCCATGTTTTTCTAATGCAATTCTGCGTAGCGCTGCGGGCAACTAGTCCAATACGTGCTAATGTGTGCTCACCGTATTTCTCCGAGAACATAAGATCCAGACATTCAGAAGGTTTTCACCAGAAGCTGAATTATCCACAGAGGTCCCTTCCTCTCTCAAACAAACAAACTGGATGATTTAAACCCCTAGAAACACTCAATAAAGCAGTTTCACATTGCATCTTAATGTAACTCCGGTGCTGCATATTGCAGTTGGGCTTCTGACTATGGTGGCTGACACAAAAACGTAGAAACATGAACATGTGAATGTCCCTATCTGGAGACAGTGTTTGGTTTGTCTGTTCTGGGCTACTGTGGAAACATGGCGGTGCAACATGGTGATCTTCATAAACAAAGACCTGCTCCCTATATCATTCTAAGGTAACAAAAACACAACAGTTCTTATTTTCAGGTGATTATACACTAAAAAAATCATTATTATTATTTTCAATTTCTGCCAATATATTCCCCTAAATTCTACACACTTAGAAATATAAGGTTATTGTCTACCCGTGGTCCACAGGGACCTCCGTGCCGCCCCACCATCTTCCAGGAAACGCCGGCAGCTTCAGAGTTGTGGAGATGAGATCAGGTGGCTGCGCGGAGAGTTGTCAGATTTGTGCAGAACAACAGAACAAAAACACGACACATCACGGACACTATGATAACGTTCAAAACACAAGTTTAACCCTCAGTGGTTTCTGTGACGTGAGATATACTTTCAAAACTAGTACAGTCACCCAAGCTACTGTTGCAACACTCATCACTCCCTAGCATCTACATCTGGGCATTTAGGACAGTAGGCTCCATTTGATTGGCCCAGTATATTGACACGCAGCGAATGCATGGCACATGTTAATATACTATTTCTCACAGCTCAAGCCATCTTTTGCATAACTTTATCACACATGTTGATATCGCAGTGAAGGTAAATTTTTCATATATTGTGCAGCCCTAACCAGTGTCATAAAATAATCCCAAAATGACAAGAATATTATTTATCGCAGTTATGTCTTTGACTGTATATCCTACAACAAAAGCAGTTATCATGACAGGCCTATTTAAATAGTTCAGTTTATTGTTTTATTAGCAGGGAATGTGCACAACTCAAGGCTTAAAAAAAGTTTTTTGTTTTTTTTTTGTCCTTGAGTAAATAATGGCACTTGTAACTTTGTGTGTGTGTGTGTGTGTGTGTGTGTGTTTGTGTGTGTGTGTGTGTGTGTGTGTGTGTGTGCGCGTGTGTGTGTGTGTGTGTGTGTGTGTACGTGCGTGCAGATGTACCGGCTGACTCTCCGCTGCAGCAAGGACTCTGTGTCCAGGCGTCTCTGCGAGTTGCTGGCCCAACAGTTCTAGAGTCCAGACCTCTACCATAACCAGAACTCCCACCATCCCCACCAGCGACCTCTCCCTCAAGCCCTTCTGCCACACCTCTCCTCCCTCCAACAGAGAATCTTTGAGTAAAAAAAGGTGTAATCTACATAAGGGAAAAAGCAGCCACTGCGAACAGCAGCGGTGATATTCTTGTCATTCTTATTGTCCCAGATTCAGATTCCAATTCATCTTCTACGTGTTTATTAACATGATGCTACATTCTTGTTTTTGTTGGTGTTTACCTGTGTAGCTGGTGCCTGCATGGCCTGGTGTGTGTGTGTGTGTGTGTGTGTGTGTGTGTGTGTGTGTCCCAGTCCCATGGTTGTGCTGGGGTCCCATTCTGCTCCATCCTGACTGTTCCATAGTACTGTTGGTGTGTGTGTGAGAGAGATAGAGAGGGAGGGAGAGAGAGGCTTATTTTGGATTGGAATAGCAATGGGTGACACTGTTTATTACAGACATACCCTGATACACACACATACATACATTGGTATAAGGCCTCTGTGATTTTTTGTGGTTCTGGTGGGATCCACAAATGAAGTGAGACCTGAGGGTCCAGAACTCTGATCTCTGCCTCTTCTGCCTGCTCATTTCCGTCTACCATTCCCAGTCAAAATGCACTTAAGGCCCTTGGATCTTCTTTGAGACCCTCCAGCATGAGCCACCTTACGTTCCCCCCTGAATGACCTGATTCCTCTCCTGAAGCCCTGTAAGGAGTAGCCTTTCATCTCAAACAGCTAGTCCACTCGTTTATATTTTGATGTGTATGTAAACATGTGCCAGTGTATTCTTTATTGCTTTCTGAGACATTCCCATCATGCTTGTGTAGAGCGCCCATGACTAACCCAAGCCATTCAAGTAGAGGGATAGCACAGAATGGACACTATGTAGGTGATGGGTACAGGGATGAGACTTACAGTGTTAAAACAGTCTTTTAGATCTTGGAGTCGGTCTCATCCAGTGCCTGGGAGACGTTTCCAGGTGCTTGTCATTGAAAAGCTTAAGGCAGTGTCTGTTAGATGCTCTTTATTGGAGGTGAGGAAGTTTATCAGATGTACTCTTTGCAAGCCAACCGCATAGTTCTTCATCACTGTGGTCTTCTCATGTAAAACTCTTTTTGAAAACACATCTGATAAAACATAAATCTAATCTTTGTGCGGCCCATCTGAGGAAGTTTACAAGTTCATCATGTTCAACGGTGGAATCTGTTTTTTTATTGTAAATGTTTTCAAGCAGCATGCTTTAGTTTGACAAGAGAGAAGAATTCACTGCTGATGACTCACTGTTTATTTGGCCAAAGGGTCAAAGGGATAGTTCAGATTTTGCCCCCAGTTTGGAGAAGAAGGCTGAAGTCCAACACCAAAGCTAAGCAGTGTACTGCTGCGGAGGGTTCAGCAACAAAACATATTTTAGCCACATAGAAAAATCAATATCAGATTTAGCGACACTATATTTAGAATTTTCACCTATTTACCTTTCCATCAGACAGGCTGTTCTGATAGGGAAGCCATTAACAGTTTCAGTTCCTCATCTATACTCTTGTGAAAGCTACCAGACTCCACTGAGAAAACAGTAACAGTAACTGTTTTAAGTGTTACTGTGTGACTTTGGTGAATCACAAGCAATATCAGTTTGAGTGTATGCTTTATCTAGAATAATTTTACTGTTTTTCCTCTATGTCAGGGAGGGATTTCCCACGGGAAAATGAAGAGAATATATTGCTCTCTTCAAAGCCAGACTCCATTGGATAAAAAAAGAGGGATTAACATTGCTGAACACAGGAGCTGCTGGTCTACCACTGCCTCAGACTGTTATTTTCTTTGTGATACTGTGTGCATTTGGTGTTTTAAAGAGTTACTTCAGATTCACCAAAGTCACACAGTAACACTTAAAACAGTAAATTACTGTTTTCTCAGTGGAGTCTGGTAGCTTTCACAAGAGTATAGATGAGGAACTGAAGCTGTTAATGGCTTACCTATCAGAACAGCCTGTCTGATGGAAAGGTAAATAGGTGAAAATTCTAAATATAGTGTCGCTAAATCTGATATCGATTTTTCTATGTGGCTAAAATATGTTTTGTTGCTGGCCCCTCCACAGCTGTACATTGCTGAGCTTCCATGTCAGACTCCAGCCTGCTTTTCCAAACTGGGGGCATACTGACAGACATCTGCTGTATGTAATATATGGGTTAGTGACTGACTCATGCATCCCCACTTTTAAGAAATCCAAACTATCCCTTTAAGTTGCCCACCTCTGATAAAGAGCAATGTTCAGCTGCTTTGACTGTGGATGACTGTATCTCAGAGCCATCATGGCTCCACAGGACCCTGGGACTGGTTTGGGCTGCTGCTTTGCTGTCTGTATGTGTCAAATTGATTTTCTTGATGAAGAAGCGCACTGCCTGATCTATGATTAGAACATAGCACTGATAGATGCACCATAATCACTTGAAGGATATAACTGTTTTGTAGTCAGGCAGTTATGCTCTGAACAGATGGTGCTGCAGCAGCTAAATCCAGAACCAACATATATCAGAGCTAGTTCCATCCCAGTCTGGACACACATCAGTCTAATATATGTATGTATACGGTCTTGTTCCTGCTTCTACAGCCAAGCATTTAAAGAGTAGATCAATGCCAACAAATCAAATGTGTACACAACCACTACAGTAAATATTTAGAGAACACAGAGATGTTCAGTAACCTCAAAATGTTTGGATTTGTGCATCCACAGCTTTCTCATGCTTTCCGGGTTTCCTCTCATGCTTTCCGGGTTTCCTCTCACGCACAAGCAATGATATTGTGGGAGAGGACAGGATGTAAGACACCCAGATGTCCATTACAACTACAGGGGACTCAGTGTATATGTGTGTGTGAATGTGAGTGTGGCTGTAAGCAGGTTAAAAAAAAAAGCTTAAAGGCATTTCTTATACATCGTCACATTACATTCTGTGGCTGCACGGCAATCACAGGACATTGAACTTTGTAGTGGAAAATGTAGTCATTTTGTCATTCTGTGAGTGTGTGTGTGTGTATGCAGTATCCACTAGCTAATGCAGCCTCATGTATCGGTGTTAAGAACCTGTCCAATACCTGTGTTAGAATTAAGATTTACTCTGTAATGAAGAAATGTGAAAGTAAAACTATGCCATATATCCGACTTGACGCCTCCTGTCTTTCTGTGTCTCACTGTATCACACTGATAGATGATGACTATACAGCACATGTACAGTAAGTGATCAGTGGGATTTAACAGGATAGATGGAAATATGAAACAACTCTTCAATGTCTGAAACACACAGTCGGGAAAGAGATTTATTTTAAGAGTTTTTAAAAGTGTGTGAGAGATGCACACAGCTTGTGGGACACATCAGTAGAGGGTTATTGAGATCCAATGGCTTTCAGGAGGTTTACATCCTCATCGGCAGGACAAACAAGGCCTTTAACTGCTCGGCTGATAAAGTGTTTTAAAACAGAATTTCAAAGATTGATTTAACAAGTCTACCAAGACGGCCAAGCCAAACCACAGTCAAGGGGTTTTAAACAGAAAACACTGTAGGAACTTAACAATGCAGCCAGAATAGAGAGGAAAGTGAAAACAACAATATGGACTGACTGCATATCAAATCTATGGAAGCGCATTGCATTCACTGGATAAAAAAAATTAAGACACCTTATCTCGTAATTAGCCTATGAGATCCTTATCTCGTAATTACGAGATAAGGATCTCATAGGCTAATTACGAGATAAGGATCTCATAATTATGAGATCAGGAAAGGTGCCACACACTGCTTCGCTCAGAACCACATACTGCACATCCACGAAGGGGGGTCAGAACTACTGTAACCAGCTGCCACTCGGGTGGTGCCATCTTGACTATATCCCACATCTTTATTAGGGACTGAGCCCGAAGGCAGAGGACTGATCAGAGAGCAGTCCTCGCCCCTGTTTTTGCTGTGTTTATTATTAGGGACCGAGCCCGAAGGCAGGCCGAAGGTGAGGACCCAATTGTTTTTGCTGCGTTTTTTAGGGACCTTGGCCAAAGGACGAAGTCCCACTTGTTCCTGTAAGGTTTATTAGGGACCTTGGCCGAAGGAGAGGAGAAATTTCTGCAAACAGCTGAGGTGCAACACATTTTAAACTCGCTCCTCTGATCACATTTTTGACTCTAGAAATATAAAACACGACACGTGCGTTCACGAGAAGTGGCTCTCTCTCACCATCACTTTATTTTCTTCATTGGACCAACGGTTTGGGTATGGGAAGAACTTGTTCGAGGAGTTCACACCCATTATAAACAGCCTTTGCTGATCTGCTCTCTCATGAGCTCTCTGTGTGCCCCTCAAGTGCAGGCAAGTCATTAATCGCCATGACAACGGCTGCACACACAGACACACACACACGGCTCTCTCTGTCTGTGTGTCTCACAATCTTTAAAGGACAGATTACAGCAGCAGAATCTTCATTTGAAACAGCAAATACACATTATTAACCCCTAAAGTGCCAAAATGGGCTCTCTAGCGCCACATAGGTGCACTAAACTGGCCACTGCAGCCTGTAGGAATGTCGTAGAAATATCAAACCAAAACTGGTGTGTTTGACTTACAAATCACGCGCTGACACCCATGACCTAATTCCAAAAGGAAGTGAGCTATTTGACCTTTCAAAGTAAGATTTTGCCTCAAACATGCTCTTAAAAAAACACATCTCCTCCTACACCGTTTATTTTATTTGCTTTAAAGACGCACACATGCCACCTCAACTGCTGCTAAACAGATCTTCTGTATAACTTTATCTCTCTCATCATCACATTATTTTGATGATTGGACCAACACTTTGGGAATGGGAAGAACTTGTTCAAGGAGTTAAATCTCCACTAAAACAGGTCTCTCTGTGTTCTGTCTGTCTCTCTCACCATGGCAACCGCTGTCACACACAAACTCACAGAAACATGATGTGTGTGCGTGTCTACATCTTACGTGCAGACATGACAGGGGCAGAATCTCCATTTTAACCCTTTAGGTGCCAGAGTTAATTGAGGAAAATATTCCATTTTTATTTCAACATTTCAAAAGACTGTGGCTTGAAAGTGGTGAGAGATAAAGGCATACTGTAAATGAGAAAACTATTCATCATGACCCAAAGTTTGTCATGGGAGTAAATTAACTCATTTAATTTGCATATTGTGGCATCATTAGGCGGCGGCCATATTGGATTTCATAAATCTCAGTAAAACAACATTTTGAACATATTTACAGATTTATTTTGTTTTGTGTTGTTTTTGTCATCTCATCCTCAAAAAAAGGGAGGGGAATCTGATGGGAGTAAATTAACTCATCTAATTTGCATATTGTGGCATCACTAGGCGGCAGCCATATTGGATTTCATAAATATCAGTGAAACAGCATTTTGAACATATTTAAAAAGTAGATTTATTTTGTTTTGTGCTGTTTTTGTCTCTTACTCAAAATAAAGGAAGAGGAATCTGATGGGAATAAATTGACTCATCTAATCTGCATATTGTGACATCACTTATACATACCTGCAGCTACAGAAAGCATTCAGACATCAAAACGTTCAGCTCTGTAAGGATTTTCTGATGTTTGTGGCAATATGTTTGATATTTCTAAATAATTCACAATGACGACATAAGCTGGGAGCCGAAACGTGCGTGAGTGCGAAGTCCCGCCCAATGCTGCTTGCAGCTTTAATTATAATGTGTATTTGGAAATTACGACAGAGTATTAAGGTACGACGGAGTATTAGGGCCACATTGAAGAAAAAATCGGAGATTTCGAGAATAAAGTCATAACTGAGAAAAAGTCATAATATTAGGCTACAAGAATAAAGTCGAATTATGAGATTAAAGTCGTTATTTAATGAGATTGAAGTCATAATATTACGAGAATAAAGTCGTAGTTTTTTAAGGAAATAACCAACAACAAACAGAATGTCAGATTGTCTTTCATGCCATTGTAAGTAGCCTACTTAATTAGGTTTGGGAACCGGCACCGTGCCGGTGTTCTGACGATTTGGTTCTGTGTCAGTCGAAATGCGCTGTTTGTGACTCCGGGCCCAGCTCTGCCACTGATTGGCCAGTCTGACATTCTTCATAATACATAAAGAATGTTAGTGAAACACATAGGCCTAACAGAAACATGCGTTCGTCTGGGGACAAGTTAGTGGTCACGTTACTTGTTCCACAGGCGAAGGACCCCGGACACATAACCTACAGTAAATACACCGGTTGTAAGTAACTTTTAACATAGCCTACGTGAGTCTTTGTGACTCTTGACTCTTGTCCCCTAACTAACGCTTGTTTCTGATTCACTAACGATATTTTCACACGATTAAGTCACATCCCGTTATTTCCTCTGTAAACTT